TGACCAGACCTCCCTGGGCTCTGCCCTGGGCTCTACTCAGGCAACCAAGGGGCTTTGGGCCTCTTAGATGGCCTCAAACCTCAGCTCCACGTTTGAGAGGACTTCCACAACCCTTCAATAGCCTCCAGCTTCAACCTGAAGAAGTTGCTGAGTTTTGGCACCTAGACTGTGGATCGTGGGAGGACTTGGTTCAGCCACATGAGGCAGCCGCATGGTCCAAGCCTCCATCCAACACCATCAAGACCCAAGGACTGCTATTCACCAAAGGCTGTTTGATGGTTGTATGATCTGCTCTCTTGCTACACACAGTTGTTGGCTTTATTAAAACCTACACTTCAAAGAATACTTCTCCTACCAAGGCTGAACACATGCAGGCCTCAGCCTATACCAATCCATTCATAGACAAAGGTCTTGCTTAGCTCACTTTAGCCTAGTATTTTAACAATGTATCTTGAAATCAACGTTTCCTTCATGTTATTCTTGACAATTTGCATAACTCATATCTAGTCTGTATTGTGTATACTTCATTAAATCTACAAAACCATCTTTGTCTGAAAGTGATATTTGTACTTTTAACTCCAGAAATTGGGTCACTGATTTGTAAAAGAATTCACTACCTTCAGATTCTATTGAAGAGAATTGGACTAACTAGCTAATTAAATAATGAAAGGACTCATGAGATTACTTAATCAATAAATGAGCCAATTAATTGATATTGTGACGTCATATGCACGTTATCAGTTGGGAGTTATTCCCTGGTGCCCCTAAATAAAGCTATTATCAATTATTGTATTTATTACTATGGTTGTTTTTGATCCAATTCTCCGATATCAGGTACATAACTTAAGTTATGTGTGATATCGACATTTTCTCACCCTACAGCTTCATAATATAATCTTTATAAAATAATAATAATTTTTTACATTGATTATTATTGGTCTCACACTCTGACGTTAGCAGGAAAGCTATGAATACATTCTTAATAATGAAAGACATGGATATAGTTCATAGTCTGAGCTCCAACTGAACCCTTTAAATTACTCATGAAATCTTTCTTCAAAAAATATGGAGAAAAGAAAGAGCCCAGTCTCAGTTCCATTAATAAAAGCATTGAAATATGTGAATAGTAAGCACATGTCTATTAAAAGCCCTTACGCAATGCTGTTAAAATTAGCCCATCGTTTTTGATCATGTCTTGAACCACTCTCGTCCATTTTGGTCCAATCGGGAACAATGGCGGGATGATGAAAGCACCGGTCGCTTCCACTTTGTCTGAATTTTCATTTTGCCACAGTCATTATCCGTCCCTAAGTTAAATTATGTCTATATTTGCAATTTTCTCTGCTCTTCACTCAGGCTCATTTAGGCTGGAGGAAGGTTCAGTGCTTCAGATGTGAAATGTTATCAATCTAAGCCACAATGTTAAAACATTGACGTCATAAAATTAATTTTATCAGTACATATCGTTTGTGCAAAATTGACTTAAAAGATGCTTCATCTTTATCATAATTTTACTTGCATGTCTCACTATAAGTTTGTGTTTTTGATCTTGTGTCGGTTCGGGACTTTCTGTGTGAAGTTTGCATGTTTTTCTCCAGGCGCTCCGGTTGTGCCCCATCACCCAAAAATATGCACTATAGGTAAAAGTCTAGCTAGCTTGTGTAATCCTGATTAAGCCAAGCATCAACATCTGGACATTGCAGGATGGGTCAAATGCAAAAGAATCATTTTCCTACAGGGAAACAAAAGAAGGCCTACTTCCTAAATATAAAAACTGTTGTCACTGATCAATACAGACATTTTAATGACAGACGTCAGTTAATTTGTTTCAGAAGAAGTGTAAGGGGCAAAACGCTAACCTGAAAACATTGAAATCATCTGAATGTGGTACGAGATCGTCAAAGTCACTATTTATTTATGACTTTTTCCTTTCTTTATCTTTTTATTGTAGTATTATGGAGGCTCTAAATAATGTTTCCTTAGCACAGCAAACAATATACATTTAATTAGATAAATATCTAATACTAACATAACAAGCAATTAAAGACACATGTTTTTTCTAAGTTAGTTGGTCCACGAATAAAGAATAAAAACTGAACTCTAAAGACCAAGAACGAAGTTATGATTAAATGAAATCCAAATGTAGAGGAGTATTTATCTAAGTATTAGTAGGAGTAATGAGATAAGTATTAGTAGGAGTAATGACAGTATTCGTTATGGTGAGTTACTCTTACATACAGTAAATGGCCAGACCTCCGGCCGCCTCATACATCAGATTTTAGAAGTCAGAACAGTCGAAGTTCACCACAAGTTTGCACTTCATCTTTAATAATATGATTAGACACTATTTACAATTAAGATTTAGCTCTATTGTCAAAATTGGTTTGACAAAATTGTCTTTTTATGTAATTTTTTTCATGTACATTCATTTGGGCATTTTAAAATATATTTCCTTTAATCTCTGTGAATCTCAAATCACAAATTGAGTCTCCATCTGCTGTTTGGAAGCGGACTCTGTTTCAGTCTGGACTTTAGCAGTGACTGGGACACAGTAGTGAGACACACACACAGGCACACACACACAGGCACACACACACACACACACACACGCAGGCACACACACACACACACACGCACACACACATGCACACACAAGTTCACACAGATCCAAACACAGAGGGATCAGTCTGAGCAACAACTCCAGTGGATAACAAACTTTCTAACAACCGCAGCTCCAAAAATGCCTCTCTCAGGTATGTGGCTATTTTTTATTCTGTCTGTGAGATTTATGACTAAGATAAGCAAATGTTATTTAGCACCTTGTGGAGAAATCACCTCCAGTATGCATAGAAAACAGACTGTTAATAATGTCATTATAGCATCATATACATTTTAATAAAGCACTTTTCAAAGAATTGTGTGACATCTTACTCTACATTAGTAAGATGTAGAGAGAGGAAAGCAATAGTATAAATGAATACAAATATGACACTTAGTAACAGTGGGATAGTAATACATAAATTACACAAATGAAGCAGTATTTATGTGTATAGTAGTTAAGATTAAAAGTAGGTTTAACAATGGAACACTTATTTGAAAATGCATAATTGAAATATTTATCATTTCCAGTCAAATTGGAAATTTTGTGCTTGTTCTATTGGAAAATCAACTTATACTAAAACTAGGAAAATACTTTTTACATTACACACTTTTTCTGCTGTGAAAAAGTACTTGAGTACACTTTACTCTCAAAATATTACTTTTTACCCCTTACGTATAGGCGCATCTGGAGGCTGCAGTATTGGGTCTATATCTATTTCACTACTTAAATACAGATCAATACACAATGTAAATGAGAGATTCATATTAACCCATTGTAGAAAGTGCAAGTACAGCAGGACAGTGTTGTTGTGAAGTTAAGGCGACTGGATCAACTTCTGCCAAAGCTAATCTCCCGCTAATTCCTCTCACTGATCTGTGCGAACGACTTACGAGCTGCACGTTATCCTCCTGGTCGACACACAGGTGACATGAGAGGAGGGAGAGCAGCACGTGCAACACAAATCAACTGCAATGTCACTGATAACGACCTAAAACAAGACAAGGAATATGTTGTTGGTGGCTGTAGAGTGCTTTGGAAAGGATCATTGAATGGAATATTGTGTCCAGATGTCCATAAACATGTGGGTCGTTTCCTCGTCTGTTTCCTGTTTGAACAAAGGAACCAGGAAACTATGCCCTAAACCGTGAAAAACACCAAATGCAGCGTTGTAAGTTTTAGTTTAGTACAGTATGAGGCCTGTAATGAAGGAAATAGCGGCATTAATATCTCTACTTTAAAAAGTCAGAACAGTCAAAGTTCACCACATAATTGCACTTAATCTTTAATGACATGATTAGACAATATTGAGCTGTTGTCAAAATGTCTCTTTGTGTTGCCTGGATGTGTTCTGCAGGTGTTCTCTCCAGAAATATAAAATACATTTCCTCTAGTCTTAGCTTGAGAAGTTATTTAGGCAATTAGGAATTTTAAAATATATTTCCTATTATTTCTATTTTGAAACTATGACAGACTTTGGATGTATGATTGAAAGGTGAAGTGAAGTAGAAATTGGCCAGAATCAGGAAAGTATTCCAGTCATATACAGGACATAAAAAGTCAAAATACCGGATATATCTTTATGGCCAGTTTTATCAGAAATGACTGAACACATAGCAAGATTTTTCATTTTTAACTGATTTGTAGTGTGGCTGAATGTGTATGCTCTCTTAAATTCAGGTTAAAGAAACATTTCCCCATGGGTACAGATACCCATGTACCCTTTGAACATATTGGTCGGCACGATGGCTGAGTGGATAGCACTCTTACTTCTCAACAAGAAGGTCCTGGGTTCGAATCCCGGTTGGAACAGGAACTTTCTGAGTGGAGTTTGCATGTTCTCCCTGTGTCTGCGTAGGTTTCCTCCAGGTGCTCTGGTTTCCCCTACCACTAAAAAACATGCACAATAGGTAAGAAAGTGAATGGATGGTGTTGATTGGGTCTGATGCGCCAGTGTGTTCAGCAACTCGCTTCTGTCATCACCTTGTGTGGAATAATTGGAACAATCTCTGAACACTGTAAAGCGCTTTGGGTGACCTTGGTCTGTAAAATGCGCTATATAAATAAACATTACTTACTATTATAGTTCCACCATCATAATCACAGTAATAATTGAATTGGCTTTTTGAACCTACCAAACCCTCTTTTGAAAGTAGCAACTTGTATTACCATCCTTATCCTTATTCTTATAATATATCAACGATACATTTCCCTTCAGACATTCACAGAATAGAGGCTGAGACAAGTCACAAAACTCCACTCTCTTGTTTTGTGCAGGTGCAGAGGAAACATGCCGCTTCCTCTCTCTGGACAACAACGTGCAGGAACTTCATACTGTGTGAATGAACAAAGGCCAAACACTTAAATGCTCTCTCAGTAATAACTCAAAAAAGGATTCAAAATGGCCACGGTGGCGGCTCGAGATGGGACCACGCAGCCTCCTCTGGTCCTGGCTGTAGACCCGTGCCCTCTGCAGATAAACCTGATGTATGAAGTCGTACCCTCCATGGTCTGCTCCATCTGCCTCGCCTTTGGACTCATCTACTGCTTTCTGGGTATGATTACTACTGTCTGGGATAGGCTTGATGTTTATGCATGTTTTCATCAAGTTATTCTGTTTGTATTGTCATGGTTAACATGATTACAGTATTGATTATTTACTGTATGAATAGTGTTTTTTTGTTTTGACAATAATATACAATAGATTAGCTCCTTCAATCACCCACAATCATTCCCTCACATTCTACATTTATAACAAGCAGAATCACTTACATAAATAACACAAATAGCACTTTGGCATTTGAGTAGCAAAATACTACATATTTTCCCAGTAGCCGTGTTAACATTTGGTAATATTCACAAGTTTCTTTCACTTTACTTGTGGTGTGTTTTGAAGATGGTACAATATGTTGCTATTGAATCTTCGAACACATGGAAACCAAATCCCATGAACCTAGTTTTGTGTAGCCCAGAATCAAACAGCAGTCGTCCCCACAGAATTGTCAATTTGCTGACAGCAGATTATAAAAACAAACACTTAAAACATAAGAAAATCAATACAACACCTAAAAGGAATTGGCCCATAGATTTCAGGTTAGCCAATCCATGTTCCCTGCCAGCTCATTCCCTGTCCTCACACTTCACTAAGGAGAAACTGAATAAACCCAAACCAATTATTGTCATCAGATTTCTGTAGGACTTAACCAGGACTTTGCCACTAAGACATGTACAGTTTTACAGTTAGTCCAAAGTAATATGGACTGGCAAGAGCTCTAGTGTCTGGTACACACTGGGGTAGTCTTGGTAGTCTACTAGTCGAGACACAAATAATCATTGTGAAATTTCTATACCAGCGTATTCTAGTCCAATAAGCCTAATAAGTGCTCTCAATAAAAGATCTACCGGACCATTTGCGAATCACCGCCACACTTCAGGCAACGCACTCTCACCTCACAAAAGAACAATAATATTTGTTTTCTTTTTGTTATCAAATCTGGCCTGGTACATGCAGAGCTCATGACATCCACCTGACCGCCTCATTAGCTCAGCAGGAGCTGGTCAGCAGGTGTCCAGAGGGTGCAAGGTTGGAGCAGATGGCACTAAGTCTCATGTATTGGATATGGAAGCAGCGTTTAGAACCTGCTGTTACCAATGACGTCTGTGGGGATTGCATTAGAAAATTAACATAAGGCAGATTTAAATCAAGGGTCATTATACAATCTCTATAGACATGTGATTATTTGTTTTAACATATTGTTGGAAATCCCTGCCATTGACAACAATGCAATATTGAAAAGTCCAATTATATAATACATCATGCTCCTGTTACATTACCACTGTACTGCATTTTGGAAACTAGATAATGTAATGGAAATGTGTTTTGGCTGCATGGGTGATAGAAATGGTCCATTGGTTCAAGGGCTCGACCTGTACAAACAGAAACATGTGACAGGACAAACACACGTGCTGCTGTCAATGTTTATAACCAGAACAAACTTCGGCCCCGAGTTACTCTGTAGGAAAAAAATTAAATGTGTGAAGGTTCTAACCAGATACAGTACTTTATAATCTCCAAGCAAGCACAATATTCAGGCTTGTAAAGAGGTTGAATTTAAATATTCTGAATTATTTTTTAAACAGTAAGTAAGTAATCTTTTTTTATATACCGCCTTTCACAGACCAGAGTCATAAAGCGGTTTACAGTTGTGAGCATTTGTCTCTCACTCCACACAGAGATGGGAGCGGGGTCAGGAAATGTGTAACCTTTTTTCCACACAAATAACTTGTGTTTTTGGGCCCAAAAGAAAGCGTAAAAGTAACGTTTTGTGACTAAATATGATCACAACATGCAGTCTTCATCTTATTGTTTTATGTATTTTTAAAGTTTTTCTTGGTGCTTTACAAAACCACTGTTGACACTCATTATGGTGTCTATACATATCTGTACTTTCAGACAAATATGGCTGGGGGCCATGATACAAGGAAACAGAAAATTATATAAACAATCACAACAGTAATGTTTGGAATACCAGGTTTCATCTTCATCTGGAATGAATCGTGATGTATGAGCAGAATGTGTCCCAGACTCATGTCGCTCTGCCCCCATTCATTCGCGGTCTTCATCTTAATAGAATGTTATATTTTGCAAACTTGTAAGAGCTCTGAGTCACTCCTAGAGCTGATTGAGGCTGGTAGGACCAGAGATCTTTGTCATTTCTTTGGAAAAGCTTAAAGATAGACGAAGGATAATAATACCTGCATGTGAAAACTAGTATTACATGGAATTTATTACATGTTTCTATATATATATTTATTTACTTGAATGAGCTTGGTTTTCGATGGTATGACCTAATCTTGTATTTCAACCAAGTGTGAAAATGGTTGTAGTAACACTGACAGTTATACTCACTAGTTCAACGACAGAATTTTTTTTCAACAGTTGGTTCCCTAAAATGAAGCATAGTACAGCAGCATGGTCCACCCCTGCGATCATTTTCCAATTGCATAATGTATTGTATTTTTACCACCCCCTCGTGACAACAAGCCTTTGGAAAATTGTGATGTAATCCTGAAATCAATTTGATGATCCTTTTGAAGGTCCACATTTGGCCATGGTTAATTCAAGATGTATGTTTAGGCTTATCTGGCACATTATTAACCTCAGCTGCCCAAAAAGAGCTCAATAAGGAAGTAAATCTAATAAACAGGCCTTAATGAGCGAGATTTGATGAAAGATCACATTTGGAATATAATTACAGAGCATTCCATTATCAGGGAAGCAGGACTGCTCGTATGCCCGTGGTCATTATTATGAGGATTAATATAGAACAGGACTATTCCACTTTTTTCCCTCTAGGGTGGAAGTTTTTGTGAGGCCATGTGGTCTGGGCCCAGACCACACATTACCGCTTTGAACATTTCACTCTGAGGAGGTGTTCCGGGCAAGTCACACCGGGAAGAGAGCCCGGGGAATGACCCAGGACATGTTGCTGGCCTGCTAATGCCTCTGGATTCCCCCAGATGATCCCAAGGAAGTCTGTGTGGAGAGGAAAGTCTGGGATGAGAGGTCTTCTCAGACTGCTGCCCCTGCGAACCGGCAACCGATGGAGAGGAAGAAAATTAAATGGAACATTTAATGGCAATAAACAAAAACTATAGTTTTTGTTTAAATGTATCAAATTAGTTAATAAATAAAAACTAGAACAAATCTTGGACTGGACTACTACCTATCAGGTATAAACCAGGACTTGCCCACAGACAAACTAGGAAAAAAAGGAGTCAAAAATGTTTGAAATCAAGCTAAATGTATCTTGTTTTAAGACCAACAAAAAGTATGAACATCAAGAGTTGCCATTCGGACAGCAAAAAAGTATTGTTTTAGGTATTGTAAAAACAAGCAAATTCACTCTCACTTGAAAGGAGAAAAAAAATGCTACTGTACACTTGAAAGAACAGAAGAATTTTTTGCTTAAATACTTCCTTACTTACAGTATTGATGTACTGCTAATAATGGATCCCTTGAAGTTGATTAAACCTGAAATGCTTTTGAATAAGATTTGGTCTAAGCACAAAACAATGGGTTTTAAAGTAAAGTAAGATATTATGCTTTTATCTGCAGGATACCGCTGTCTAAAGATGGTCCTCTTCTTCTCGGGTTTCCTGTTTGGTTCGGCCGCAGTACTGCTGGTTTACCACAGGGAGCCGGCTCTGGACTCCCACTTGAGCCTGGAGACGAGGGCGGGCATCGGTTTGGGCGTGGGGGTCCTCTGTGGCCTCATCACCATGCTGGTCTCTGAAATCGGATATATACTGGGCGGACTCCAGCTGGGCAGCCTCATATGCCTCCCCATCCTGGTGGTGGTTGGACACTTTTGGACCCTGTCTTCTGAGTGGGTGCCTGTTGGGTCGATATTGGCTTTTGGGATCATCAGTGCAGTTTTCACGCTCCTCTGGCACAAAGTGTTCATGGTGCTGTACACCTGTGTCTGTGGGGCGCTGACAGTGATGCTCTGTGTGGATTATGTTATTGGGACGTTTGCGATGCCCGATCAGGTGTATGATCTCTTTGTACATGGTTCGGGGCGGCCGCTGTGCTGGTTTGACTGGGCTGTCACTGGGCTCTGGCCTCTGCTGAGTCTTGTTGGAGGACTGGTGCAGTGGAAGTGGACTGCGAGGGAACTATTGCAAAAAGAAGGTGAGTTGTACCTGATGAGTTGAATCAACATGAGTCTTTATTAGCACAATGCCAAACACAAAACATCATGTACATCTGCGTTGTATGTATTCATAAATAAACAGTTTAAGCAGTTTTGAGTTGATAAATATTTGGGTGATGTTTGACAGTTCAATTAAAATGGTTTTTAGTGAATTTAACACATTGGTCATCTAAAACTTTAGTGCAAATTTCTACAATATGACAACCACACAATGAGAAAAGAGATTAAACAGATTATAAGTATCCACTTAGCAGTTCTTAAACTCTTAATATTCCAATGGAAATATTACTTCCGGAACAGTGCGGCCTGTGAAGTGAGTGGGACTTTACAATATCTTTGGTGCTACTATAGTGAAAACTGTTTATTTCATTTTATTGTCATGACTTTAGATTGGAACTTATTTAGAATCTCATCTTTCTCATGCTCATGTTATGACCTGAACATCTTTTTGCGTGTGTCCAGCTCTTCATAAGAAACAGAAGAAGCCAAAGCACAAGCACTTTGTGCAGAGAGGAAGACGGTCCCACTGCAAACGCAGACCTCCACCACTCAAGCGATACGCAGGCGACGTGCTGGCTCCGGTCAGTGGATTTTGTGCACACATATATATCTCATAATATCTCAAAGACGTTATTTTTTATGTCTCCAGTTTTTTTAATGTCTGGAACCATATTCCAGATTCAAGGCTTCTTCACAGTGAGCTGGGTCTGGTCTGTAGATCTAGACCAAGCAAGGACCCCCCCCCCCTTTTTACTTTCTTTTTGAAGCCTAAAAAATAAGTATTTTATAGTATAACATTGGGGGGAAAAGCAAATAGATCTGGTCCCTGACTTCATATATTCAAATGGGATCTCAGGAGAAAAAGTTTGCCCACCCCTGGTACAGTGTGTTCAACGGCCTGTTTGATGGAATAATAATAAATAATTATATTTACAATCTATGAGAAATACTGTATATTAGCAAGAACAACTTTAAAAGTTAATCATAACGCTGGAGAATATAGATTCAGGAAGGTCACTGCAGGTACCAACCATTAATACCTTACGTGCCCAGAATTTAAAATAGTCTTCATTGAGTATTTGCTCAATTTATCTGTAAAACGCAATTTGTTTATTGTGAGTCTAACTAAAAAACGCAGTTACTTTGTAACATCGCCCTGTCAAGCTCTTCATGTAGAGTAGTTTACAACCACAACTGCCTTCCTCTGCTTTTTGTCCTTCACCACAATGTCCTGTAAGTTCACCATTTCAATCCTGCACTTGGCTTGGTCATTTTATAACAGGGTTTGGAGTTGGACAGACATTCCTTTATTTGAACAATTTTGAAGAAATCTTATCTCTTTAATCACCAATGCACACACCTGATTTATGTATCTAAAAGTATATACAGTATATACATACTATGAATGTATGTATGTATTTGTATGTATGTATATATAATTTCCTTCTCTCTTGTTCCTCAGAGTTACCTGCAGAGTCTCCAGGAGCGGCGCATGGGCACTGGCTCGTCCTGCAGTAGTGTCAGCACCATCACTCACACACTCATCGACTTTGACTTTGAAACAGGCTCCATGGTTCCTCTCACCTCCTCCCCACCGCTCTACACAGTCTGACCACCACCTGCACCCTCAATTCACACCCTCCGTCATATGCATTGACGAGAAGATTATTGTCCAAAGACCTTTCATCTCTACACAAGTGACTTCTGTAATGGCCTCGCTGTGGATTTGTGTAACTATGTTGTTGGAGATGATCAGGCCACCGTCCTGGTGACAATACTTGTGTTGGATAGTAGACATGTACTTACTTTTGCATCAGGGATATCACACTTCCTATTGATTTATCATTTGGCAAAAATGATAAAATTTCACTGTGATGGCTTTTTCTTTATGAGTGGGGGATATAGGCGAGATCAATTTGTTTACTTTCTCACAAGAATGGATGGACGTTTAAAAAAACAAAAACTGCTGCACACTATTGTTGTCATGATACTTCCACATGGTCTGAGGGACTCGTCCTCCTGCTGCTGGCCTGGTTCCCTGCTCTTCCCTGGTTCTTCTACTGCATGACTTTTCTCATCTTGGACTAATAAAAGCACAACAAAGGGTTCTCTTGGAGGGACCTACAGCTGCGCTAAAGATGTTTGATACAAGGTGGAAGCCCCCTCACTCGCCGTCTGATGTTTATTGATATTGGAACTGTCCACAGCAAGAGAAGGAGAGTGACATGGTGTGTGTGTGTGTGTGTGTGTGTGTGTGTGTGTGTGTGTGTGTGTGTGTGTGTGTGTGTGTGTGTGTGTGTGTGTGTGTGTGTGTGTATGACGGTGTCATGTGTTTATGTGTTTATATGTTCTTCCTTTTTGGAAGAAGTAAAATAAAATAAAAAGTAAATGTTATGATCATCGATGATAAATGTCATGCCGAATATGTCTTCTCTGTAGTTATAACGAATTATTTTATTGCACATCTTATTAAATATCCAAATTAATATTTAAACCTTTAAACAAACTGTCAAATCCAAGAGATGTTTCCATTTATTTGCAGCTGCACCAAACATACAGAAGAGGAAGACTTTCAACAATAAGCACAAATCACAAAGAGAGCACTCATTTTAAGTATGGTCTGTTTCTGTCTGACAGTGTACTCAGGTATATTTGAAGTATCTCTGGGAGTTACCACAAATCACCAGAGTGCTTGTGTTACGATGAATTTTTAATAAACGCGAAGCAAAAGCAAGAGACTGTCAATCAAACGGCGGAAAGGTCATTTTAAACCCCCAAACAAACATCTTTACGAATCAAATATTTGGGACTTATTCCAGGCTTTGTGTCCTCTTAATTGTTTGCACAGTTCTGTTGGATTGGTTTTGGTCACGTTCCTTCAGTACTGAGGCAAGTGCCCTACTACTAATGTTATGAGGTCTTAAGATTGGCCATAATTCTGTATGTCAAATATATTTATCCTATAGTTTTTTGGATGTTTTACATCCTCCAACAGTTTGGAATCAAATGGACAAAATTCAAATTGAACTCAGTTTTGGAAAGAAATTGGCCCAAACAGCTACCGCAAGAAATAAGTCCACACATCCCTTTTCTTCCGCTTTATTTGTTCCCGGGTTGCAGGGGCAGAGACACCTAGACTTCCCTATCTACACAACTGGCTCCTCTCGAAATGGAGAAGCTGCGGCTCTACTCTGAGCTCCTCCCGTATGTAACTGAGCTCATCTCTCTATCTCTAAACCATTCCAATTCGCAACCTTGTATTTTCGGTCATTACCCAAAGCTCATGACCATAGATGTGCCATTTGACAGGGCAACAGGAAACAGGAAATGGTGGGAGGGGCAAAGGTTTCAAAATGGAGAGAGAGGGAAATCAGGGCCTTTCACTCAACCCACTCCATGCAGTGAGCATGAGGGCAGCTGAGAGGCAGGGGGAACAGCGCAGTCTTAAAAGGTGAAGTAAGCCACGAGGAGAGTCCACAGCTTCATGTGGTTTTAGCCATGTTTGGGAGGGGTGTCTGGAGAGTCAAAGGTTAAGTTACCTGCAGGCCTCTTTATCCCGCATGTCTGGAAAGATTTTTGTTTTACACTGTTTCAGTGAATCCAAACACGGCACTTCAAGCCGGCCACTGTTTTATCCCATAATAAAACATATTCCATATGTTTATTTATATATTGGGCTAAAATAATTTGTATTTGATCTCACCCCTCTTGCATGGTCTTGCTGTGAAACTAACATTGCACTGCATAGTTTTAAACTGTTTACTTGAATTGATGATTTTTAACCATTTGAATATATTACTTTTAATACTCATGAAATAATTATTGCTGTTGTACTGATAATTTGAGTCTCCTTAGTTTAATTGTTATGTTGCAATGGCATGGTCAACAAGAGAGTTTTTAATAGAGAAAATAAGTCTATTAAATATGATTTGGGTGACACACTGAGACACTTTAAAATCACTATACTATTGACAATCTTTGTAACCATGGGAGACTAACCATACATATATGTGAACCACTAGTTGTTTTGGGAGCACAAACTAGTTGTTTCAAAGTTAGGCACTCCAGGAGTAATTTAAGGAGTAACTTATACTGAAGCCTTATCGATAAACTATGATCATCATGAGTAGAGCTAAGGTACAACTTGAACTCAAACATAACTTTAACACTGAGGCTTTGACAGTAAGCTGTGTTCCTTCAGCGGGCTCTCGTCTCCCCCTTGTGGCTCAGTCCTCGCACTGCAGCCAGTCAGAGGCAGTACTCATTGAGGAGCCTTTTACTCTCTCCTTGTTTGGGTCGACTCTCCAGAACTCCGAGCCTTTGAACAGATACACACTGTGATCTGTCCACGTCACTGCGGCGTCTGTGTCGCTGGGGGCGCCTTTGAACAGGTGACTGACGGGCAGAGACTTGAAGTGTGCTGGTTTGAACTCGTCCCATTGCCAATATGCAGAGCCCTGGGGGAGAAACAGCAGGTGGTGACATGTGACTCATCAAACATTTAGAATCTGGTGGATAAATCACATTTAACACATGTTAGGCTGTAACTATACTGTATACTTTCATAGCCACGGCTACCCCAGGGTAGATTTACAACAATGAGAATGCAGATCTGTGCCTCTGGGCACTAGGGCTGCATTACATTGATTATGCAATAATGGCATTTAATATAGTCAGAAAATAAATGTAATGATAATAATAATAATGCATTGGTTTTAAAGCGCTTCCTTCACTCCATACATGGTGGTGATAAGCTACTACTGTAGCCACAGCTGCCCTGGGACACACTGACAGAAGCGAGGCAACCCGCATGCCATTGGCCCCTCCGACCACCACCAACCATTGACTTTCTAATGATAGGTAAAGTGTCTGGCCTAAGGACACGACAGTGCCACAGCCGCCCCTGTGGCACCTGGTGTTCCTATCACAGTGCTAACCAGGCCTTGCCCTGCTTAGCTTCAGAGGTCTGACGGGATCTAGTGGATGACTATGTCAAAGGATCAAAAACTAGGTTTAAGTCAGTCTGTGGATCAAGGTTTGAACCATGACTGACCATTAAGCATATTTTATAATATCTTTTGAAAGCCAACTGATTCTGCAAATATTGATACATTAAATTACATAAACATTGAGACACGTTTTACCTTTAAAAAGATCAGCTTGTTGTTTTTGCTTGAATAAAAAGCAGAGTTGATGTTTGCCGGGATGTTGTTCAGGCGCCTGGGAAATCCATGGTCAAGTTTGACCCCAGAGTATCTCCACAACTTGTCTCCTGTGAGAGCACAGTGAGTTGTCTCCATTAGCAGTAGTATTATATTACAATATGTGAATGTTCCTTGTTACCATCATTTTACTCCTAAATGAGCATTAAAACAGACCTTTGATGAAGTAGGACTTGCCAGTGCGTGGGGAGTGCACAGCTGCACTCAGGCCTCCAGGCAGCCCCTTCCACAGAGCAGAGACCTGGACCGGCCCAGAGAGAGAGCCAGAACCAGACTTTGTCCAAACGAACGCACCGCTGAAAAGATACGTCTGCTGCTTTGGACCTGTGAGAGGGAAGAAATATATATTAATAATTAGTTTCCTGCTTAATAATTAAAGTTAGCTCCCAGGAGCTAAGATCCTGAAACTGCATATCTGTACCCAACATGACAGCTTCCAGTTTGACTTTACAGACGTCTGGAGCACTACCTCCGGGTGGAGCAGCGGGGGCGGAGTCTGGAGACTGAGGCTTTCCTGACAACAAAAAGGCTTTTATTTTTGTAATTTATTAAATCGCGAATAGGAGCTTAGAGTAGAGCCACTGGTCCTCCACATCAAGAGGCATTTTCAAGAGATCTATCTGTGCAGACGAACCAGTGGAAGTGAAGCCTGATAATTGTGTACCATATAACGCTTGTATTCCCTGGATGTCGTCAGGATGAAGCTTGAAGTTGGAGTGGTACTTGTACACAGGCCCCATGAGTGCGCTGTAGTACTGGGAGTGTCCCAGGCCGAGGGCGTGGCCGATCTCATGTGCTGCTATGATCCTTAGGTTTGATCCAGAGCTCCGTCCCTCTGTCCACAGCTCGTCCGCATCGAAATGAATGAGTCCAGACTCGGGAGCGTCTGCGTGAGCTAAAACATGGCCTTAAGAGGAGAGACATGAGGTCAGCGGAGGAGGAACTCTGCACCTGTAAGGACAGACATGCCCCTGGTCCACAGTGTGACATCATTAGTTTAGAACGCTGTATGTTTTTTTCTACAAAGTCAGTCAGTTTTATTGCTTTACTCTCATTTGACATTTTTCATAATGGTTCTGTGAATGATGAATTTCACAGATTGAACTTGGGGTAAACAAGATGCAATATCCAAAGATTAGATCTTTAAGGTCACGTTGTACCTCGAAGAAGATGACAAAGTCTGGGATCGTGTCTCTAATACAGACAGAAGACATGTTTTATTGTTGATGACAGACGCACGAACACGAACAACGATTTTACAGACTGCAACTGATAATATACAGCGGAGGAATGGGGTCCTCCAATCAGCTTTCGCCAGCAGCTTCAACCTTGAAATAACCAAACCTTGCAGTGGAAAAGTACTGGCTTATATGTTAGAATGAAGTGTCATGAAATCTCTACAACCGCTGAAATGGACATTTAGTAAAACATGTGTCTCTGTTATATCAATCTTGTTCGTACCAGTTTTTATATCTGTGGTGGTGCGTTTGTGCGACACACATTGCCATGTTTTAAAAGTCCTGTTAAACTAAGGTGAAAACTACAGGACATGTCTCTTACCTCTTCCATCAAAGGGCACTGGGCAAGACTTCTCCTTCCTGTGAAAAGAGATTTTGATGTCTGCATTCCCAGAGTAGAGCTCTCTGAACCTTAAAGGCGACACGTTGCTCCAGTATTTGAAAGCGTTTTGAATGGCTGAGCGCGTTTTCCCCGGGCCCAGGTCTTCGGCGAAGTTATAGATGCGATAGGTCAGGAACTTCTTCTTCCACTGACCTGCATGGAAACATGTAAAAATCATGCATCATAATATTAGTGCAGTAGAGAGTGTTGGAAAGGCCAATGAGATTCCTGATCTGTGAATTTTGTTAATTTATGGCAATAAGAAAAGATCCGACTTCAATTCTTATTTAAGAAGAAAATACATAATCTAAGATCCTTTCCACAAATCCTCACCTGTCACCAAGCATCAACTCTTTGATATTATGTCATTGAAATATAACACATTGCTTTTGGCCATCAAAAATGATAATGGGTCAATCGGACAAAAATCTGCATTGAGAATTCTGCAATGCATTTTAATAGGCCCATGCATTTTAATAGGACTTCAGCTCTTTCAGACATTTCTACAGTTTCAATGATTCAACAGTTTCAAGGATTCAACAGTTTCAAGGATTTCAGCAGTTTCAAGATTTCAAGAGTTTCAAGGACTTCAACAGTTTCAAGGACTTCAGCAGTTTCAAGGACTTCAGCAGTTTCAAGGACTTCAGCAGTTTCAAGGACTTCAGTGTAATCATGCAACCTAATAGGGATTTTTCCATGTAAACCAGTATAATGCAACTTAATAGGATTTTTCCATGTAAACCAGTATAATGCAACTTAATAGGGATTTTTCCATGTAAACCAGTATAATGCAACTTAATAGGGTTTTTTTTCATGTAAACCAGTATAATGCAACTTAATGGGGATTTTTCCATGTAAACCAGTATAATGCAACTTAATAGGGGTTTTTACATGTAAACCAGTATAATGCAACTTAATAGGGTTTTTTCCATGTAAACCAGTATAATGCAACTTAATAGGGTTTTTTCCATGTAAACCAGTACAATGCAACTTAATAGGGATTTTTCCATGTAAACCAGTATAATGCAACTTAATGGGGATTTTTCCATGTAAACCAGTATAATGCAACTTAATGGGGATTTTTTCCATGTAAACCAGTATTATGCAACTTAATAGGGATTTTTCCATGTAAACCAGTATAATGCAACTTAATAGGGTTTTTTTCATGTAAACCAGTATAATGCAACTTAATAGGGTTTTTACATGTAAACCAGTATAATGGAACTTAATAGGGGTTTTTACATGTAAACCAGTATAATGGAACTTAATAGGGGTTTTTACATGTAAACCAGTATAATGCAACTTAATAAGGATTTTTACATGTAAACCACTATAATGTAACCTAATAGGGGTTTTTACATGTAAACCAGTATAAAGCAACTTAATAGGGATTTGTACATGTAAACCAGTATAATGCAACTTAATAGGGATTTTTCCATGTAAACCAGTATAATGCAACTTAATAGGGATTTTTCCATGTAAACCAGTATAATGCAACTTAATAGGGGTTTTTACATGTAAACCAGTATAATGCAACTTAATAGGGGTTTTTCCATGTAAACCAGTATAATGCAACTTAATAGGGTTTTTTTCATGTAAACCAGTATAATGCAACTTAATGGGGATTTTTCCATGTAAACCAGTATTATGCAACTTAATAGGGATTTTTCCATGTAAACCAGTATAATGCAACTTAATAGGGTTTTTTTCATGTTAACCAGTATAATGCAACTTAATAGGGTTTTTTTCATGTAAACCAGTATAATGCAACTTAATAGGGTTTTTTCATGTATAATGCAACCTAATAGGTTGCATTATACCACCAGACCAAGACCCAAACGAAGACTCAGACCACCACCAGATAATGACCACAGACCAGGTTTCCTTAGTTACAGGAACCAAATTGTTTCAGCGGTGAGGGGATTTTTCAGTTTCAAGGACACTTTCAATACATTCAGTAGTTTCAAGGATTTCAGCTGTTTAAGAATTTAACCAGTTTCAAGGATATCAGGAGGTTCAAGGATTTCAGGAGTTTCCACACTTTCAACAGTTTCCAGGTTTAAAAAAGTTTCAAGGATTTCAGGAGTTTCAATGTTTCAACAGTTTCAAGGATTTCAGGAGTTTAAAGGTTTCAACAATTTCAAGGACTTCAGGAGTTTCAAATATCTATCAAGTATTTTAACAGTTTCAAGGCTTTTTAAAGGATTTCAAGGATTTTTTTTAGCAGATTTCCACATTAGATCTGTTCCGCAGTCAATCGCAATGGCTTCAGCCATTGCAAGTTTCTAGTATTATTCCTGAAATTATTTTGTTGATGAAAAGCTCATTGATTCAAAAGCAGCCATACTTTTATCTTGAAAGAGAAAACCCCTGTGGAGTGGAGGCTTTACACATGAATTAATTAATGAATATTTATTTTATTGACCCTAACCCAATTGTTTGATTAATAACAGAGATTATATTCACTAACTGTATTAAAACAACAAAAAGGATTGGGCTGAAGCAACTTTCTTATATAAACCCCTCCTGACATCACGTCACATACAGGTTATTAGCTACTTAAACACAACAACTATGTAAAAAATAAAATACATCTTACTGATTTCAAACTCAAAATGCATTAATTGGTAAAACACAGTATTTTTCTTTTATTATTTATATTTTTAAAACAAAATATATGAATTAATTATTTCACATTTTAAGGTGGTTTTAAATGTTGATAAGATGTACTAATCTCACACAGGAGAAATCATCAACCTTTAGTAGTTCTCTTCTAAATTAAAATGGTATTAAAACTTGTTTCTGAATTGATACAAACCCTGCATAAGATCATTCCACATTTTACTCCAATAACAGACACACATCTGTATTTAATGTTAATTCTGGATTTTCTTGTTTCCAACTGAAGCAAACCTTTCAGATTGTAGTGACTTTTTCCAATTTTGATGAAAGATTGAACACCTGTTTTTTTCAATTCTAGTATTTTTAACCTGACTATGTCCATACATTTTAACATGTTCGATTTTAGGGCCAAGAAGGACTATGGAGAACGACTGGAGTAGAAGCTGGCGCAGGACCAGACAAGATCATTGAGCGGGTGGACAGCTTAAAGTACCTGGGTGTTCACATTGACAATAAACTGGACTGGTCCCATAACACCAACGCCCTGTACAAAAAGGGCCAAAGTCGCCTCTTCCTTCTGTGGAGGCGGCGGTCCTTCGGAGTGAGCAGGCCTCTGCTTAGGACTTTTTTATGACTCTGTGGTAGCGTCTGCCATACACTACGCTGCCATGTGCTGGGCCCTGGGCAGCACAAGTGGGCCAGCTCCACTCTGGGCTGCTCCCTGGACTCTGTGGAGCAGGTGAGGGACAGGAGGGTGCTAGTCAAAGTCACCTCCATCATGGACAACACCTCCCACCCACTGCACAGGACTGTAGAGGAGCTGAGGAGCTCCTTCAGTGGAAGACTGAGGCACCCTCAGTGCAAGAAGGAGCGCTACCGTGGGGCCTTTATCCCCCCTTGTCAGAATGTACAATAAGTCACTAATGACCTGAACTAGGAATGAAAAACCAGCACTGCTATTGCCATTTTTAATTTTACATAATATCCTGCACAGACATTATTTTTAACATTTTGCACATTTCATGTCTTTTTGCACACAGTGGCGGAGCCAGAGGGGTAGCCAGGGTGGCCACTGCCACCTCTAAAAATACCCTTGCCACCCCCAGTGCCCCCCTCGGAAGACGGCAATGTAATAATATAATAATAATCTTTATTTGTATAGCACTTTTAAAAACAGTAGGGGCGACAGTAGCTCAGTTTGGTAGAGCATTGGCCTTTGGGCCTGAAGGTCGTGGGTTCAAGCCCACCGTGAGACCTACTTCACGACTCCCACTGATGACTGCTGTCGTTGTGTCCTTGGGCAAGACACTTAACCCCACTTTGCCTGAAGCCCCCACTGAGAGATCTCAACTCCTGTGGACTCACCACCTGCAGGAGGATCAGTGAGGGGCTGGTGCTGAGTGTACTGGGTGCAGCTCTGACTGCCACCCCCCCGACCCAGAAATAGGATTAAGGGGAAGAAAATGGATGGATGGATGGACTTTTAAAAACAATGTTTACAAAGTGCTGCACAGTCAGCATGATAAACAATAAAAACAGTCATAATACAAGGTCAAAATAATTAGATACAGAAACACAAAGCAAACAGAGCAAAACACAAAAGAGACACAACAAAGACAAAGCAGACATTAAAATACAGCATGTGAAGTTTAAAACTAACAGTTAAAAGCTGTTTGATAAAAGTGGGTTTTAAGAGGATATTTAAAAGAGGATACTGATGGTGCTAGCCTTATCTCCTCGGGCAGGACGTTCCAAAGCCGAGGACAGAGAAGACTCGGTCACCTTTCGCCCGGAGCCTCGACCTTGGAACAGTCAACAGGGACCTGCCCGAGGATCTAAGGCTGCGGGGGGACTCGTAGGGGGTTAAAAGTTCAGAAATATAGCTTGGTGCCAGACCTAAACGAGCTTTAAAAGTAATCAGTAAAATCTTAAAATCAATTCTAAAACGCACAGGGAGCCAGTGGAGGGACACTAAAACAGGGGTGATATGCTCCCTTCTGTTAAAACCAGTGAGAAGTCTGGCTGCTGCGTTCTGAACCAGTTGGAGGCGGGAGAGGGATTTAGCGTCGAGATTGGAGAGGAGGGAGTTGCAGTAGTCGAGGCGGGAGAAGATGAGGGCGTTGACAACTTTATGGAGATCAGGAGGAGTGAGGATGTTTTTGATCTTCGAGATTGTGCGGAGGTGATAGAAGCAGGTTTGGGTGGTTTTATTGATGTGGGAGGGGAAAGTGAGGTGAGAATCAAAAATGACACCAAGGTTACGGGCGGAGGGAGTGATGTTTGAGGATAGGGGGCCGAGATGGGTTTGGATGTGGGATATAGATGGAGGCGGGTTGATGAGGAGGACTTCTGATTTGGAGGTGTTAAGTTGAAGGAAGTTGTGGGCCATCCAACGGTTCACATCGTTAAAACAGTCAACCACAGCAGCCAGACATCCAGGGTCGTTTGGTCTCAGCGGGAGGTAGATCTGTGTGTCGTCCGCATAGCAGTGGAAGGACACGTTATGACGGGCCATAACGTGTCCTA